GAATAGTCCCTGGAGCTGGGAAAGATCAAGGGAATTCAGGGCTGGTCATTCCAGGCTCACTGTGAGTGGGTAAGAAACAGTGGAAATGCAATTGGCAAATGTAGTCCTAATTAGAACCGGGGGCAGGGGTTGGGGGATTCTTTCTGGAAGTGGCAAAAACATTTTGGAGATAACTATAGGAACAAATGTGAGAGGGTCCATAAAGTAACATCAGAAATACACTCGTGAGTGCTTCTTGGCAACAGGAGCAGCTGAAACCCAGGGAATATTACCTCTGCCCTGCTCTGACCACTCGATCTAATTTGTGTCACCATCTGGTATCACCAGCATTTGAGTCTGAGCCTGTCTTCCAGTTCAGAGTGTGGCAAGGTCTCTGCCTCACTCCTGGCCACTGGTGACCTGCAGGCCTTTTACACAGACCACTCACTGCTCCACGTGCAAACCGGATAGGGCTGTAGTTCTCAGATAATGTTCTAGAACTATAGGTTTTTTCAGTGTGACTCTCGAAATCCAGTGTCTCCATGTTGTTCTATTTGTAGGTGTAATGACAGTATTTTGTAGCTATTAATAAAGTCCACTAAAATAATCAGAAACACAGAATTTTCTTTTTTCTTAAAATGACAGATATTTTTTTCCTCTTCTGCTTTCATTGCTAGTATATAAGTAAGAACGGTATTTTGGTTGGCTATTTTTAACAAGGCCCCATAACACAGACACTAAGTGGCAATTTTATATGAGTGGACTCACAACCGGGAGATGTGAAACACAAAGTTTATTTTAGTTGAGACAAGAGCCGAGTTACTCTAGTTATAACACTAGTATGTTTAACAAAATCAATGTTTGACTTAAGAAAAGGTAAGGCTGTGAAACATTTTATATGGCCAAGCACCCCTTCGGCATTCATCATGTGTAATTATAATGATGGCTCCAAAGAGACCTGCCCTATGAATTCTGCCACCTTCATCCTTCATCCTCAGAATGGAGCTTTGGCCTTAATTAGCAGCCCAGAGAGGGAGCTTTGCTCCAGGAGCAACCCAGTTTCCCACACTTATGAGTCAGTGCTCTCCACTCACCCTCTACCACCACGACCCTGACTGACACCTACCAGAACCAGCCTTTCAAAGAACACGTTTCAGTTCAATTTGGTACAGAAGAAATGGGAGTCATCAGAATGTGTAAGAGAAGCACTGAACTCATATTTAACCCTAAGGCCACAAGCTTTTTACCTTTTGCAAGCTAAAGTACCTGGGATGATCCTTAAGACTCAATCTTAATCTTAACTCTGAAAGGTGCCCCAGGTGGGCCCCTTCTGAATTCACAGGACAAACCCAGTCCTCTTCAGCCAGGCCAGCCCCCAGAAGAAAATTACTCCAACAGAGACATTTTCAGGGCCTTGATCCCAGGCTCTGTTCTGTGCCCTTCACCTCCTGTCTCCATCACAAGTCTGGACTTGGGGTTAGAAAGGACCTCAAAAGGCCAGTCTGTCAACCCTTGTCCCTTCCAGACTACCAACCCTGTGACCACCTGCCACCCAGTGACAACTGGAACTGATGTCGATGGACAGTTTAGAACTCTGCCTTCCATCAGGAAGAGCTTCTTAATGTTAATAGGTCAAGTCAGGTTTGTTGGTTTGTTTGTTTGTTTGTTTGTTTGTTTGTTTGTTTTTCAGAGCCTCACACTGGCTATTTCCTCTGCCAGGAATACCTTTCCCCAGACAGGTGGGTGTTGCCTTCTTCATTTAATACCAGCTCTGCTCCTGACTTCTAAAGTGACTTTCCTGACCACCACACCCTAGTGACTGCGCTCACTGTGTCCCTCTTGATCCCTTCTCCCTATTCATGGCCTCATAGAATCCATCCTCTCTGAAATAATTTTATTTTCGTGTTTGTTGCCCACGTAGTGTCTGCATTTCCCTCTGAACGGTAAAGGTGAATCTTATTCTCACTGAGCCCTCTCCTCTCCAGCACATAACAGGCACTCATTAAGGATCTGGGGAATCGAGCAAGAAATGAATGGATGAATCCAGTCAGGCAGGACCTGAGACCTCATACAGTTCTGGCAGTTCTGGGCAGAACCCACACACCTGTGGTGCCTCTTTCAAGTCTTACCTAGGACTCTGTTGTTCCCACACATTCCCTAACGAACCTCAGCTTTATCTTACAGACTGCTCCACCCTCTCGCATGGGTGATGGGCCAGCCCCTTTGAGGTTGACCCTTGACGGTGAGTCATATACTCCGCATTAATGTGGGTGTGGGAATGGTTGTGAACCAGGGTTGTGGGAAAGTTGGAAGAAGTTGCCAAGGAAAGAGACATGGTAAGGATGGAACTCCTAAACCAAAGTTGAGCAGCAGAGAGCACGGGTGCTGTTGTGTTAAAGGAAAAGCCACTGGATCTCAGGGACCCAGATCATTTCACTGGCCTGGACAGTTCCAAGTGAGGCGGGAAAGTGCATGCACTGATCAAGTCTTCCCTGGATGCAGGAATGAATGTTGTGGGCACAGACTCCCAAAGCACAGAGTGCCATATTGTCTCCACACCAGGTTTTTATTGATCTCACTGAAGCTCACTCTGGCTCTCCTTGAGGAAGGGGATGGCATGTAGAGGTGAGGAAACTGAGGCTCAAACTCAAGCTCCAAATCACACAACATTCAGTGGTTGACAGCTCAAGCTCTGAAGCCAGGCTTCCTGGGGTGAGCCTCACCTCTGCACCTTGCTAGCCAGGTACTCTGGACAGGTGATTCAAGTCTGCGTGCCCTCAACCGTCCCAGCTCGAGCACGGATTAGGGTTGTTGTGCAGGTTACCGGAGAGGAATTTAGGTAAAGCCCGCGGCACATGTAAACCCTCCACTAAGCTGTTCCTTTTAGCATCACAAACAAAGCTGAGGACACACCTAGTATTGAATCTGGGACTTTTACCCCCAAATTCCATTCACTTTCACTCTCTGAAAAACTGTCTGCCTGTGTTTAAACTGTGCTTGCCTTGTAGATGGGTTCAAAGTGTTGGCAGTATGAGGATGTTTCCTGGAGGAAAATGGTAAGCATCGTTCACTCAGAAGAAGGAAACACGGCGACTGTGAGTAAGCATGGGCTGGAGCCAGGTGCATGCAGGCTGGAAGCACATGGGCACAGCTTTCAAGGACAGAGTCAACCATTGGTGGGGACATGGTAGCAGAGAGGGGTTCAGCAGAAAACTCTGAGTGCCAGACAACAAGAACTGCACCTGGAGTGAAGGAAACCACAGCTAGAGGGGGCTTTTCAAGCTCTGTGAGAGTGGGAAAGAAATGCTTAAGAAGTCACTACCATGTGGGATCCCAGTTAGGCACCAAGGGGACACTGCTTACACACCGACAAAAGATTTTAGAGCTCACTATCAAAATAAACACTAGGGGGTATCTTAGGTAGTATTAGAAGAAACATTTCGGGGCTTCTCTGAAATAATAATATACATCTCAGTGAGTGATTCCCTCCCCAGCTGCCCTGAGGACAGCAGGGCAAAGTCACTAATTCGTGTCACCATCTGGTATCACCGGCACTTGAGTCTGAGTCTGTCTTCAAGTTCAGAGTGTGACAAGGTCTCTGGCTCACTCCAGGCCACTGGCGACCTTAGATAATATTCTAGAACTGCAGGGTTTTTTCAGTGTGACTCTCGAAATTCAGTGTTTCTAGGTCGTTCTATTTGGAGGTGTTGTAATGACAGTTTCTTTGTTCTTGTTAACAAGTCCACTGAAATAATCAGAAACACAGCAAGAATTTTGTCTTTCTTCTGAAATAATTTCGATTTCTTTCTCTTTGTTTTCTTGATTTAAGTGATTGTACAATATCTCAAATGGAGAACTAACAAGATTATAATTTTAGGGTAATTTTTAATAAATGTTCATTACACAAAATATGAGTTACATTTTTGTCATTACTATAGAATGACAACAGGAATACCTTTTCCCTCTTCTGATGTCAGTTTGGACTTTCTTGTAATTGTTTTCACTACTGTTGCTAAGTAATTGTATATTTGCTCAAAATTGAAGCTCAGAAGAATTACTATTTTGAAGATAGTGCTTCATAAATGGATTTCACTTGGAAGTAAATTTGGTGAGTGCCTTGTTTCTTTGTCCTAGGCTGTGTAAGGACAGTATTTCAGAGATGGCTGTTTCTTAAGATCCCATAACGAGAGTTTATCTTGAGTTGATGCTACTTATAAAGACTGATACATGGGGCGCCTGGGTGGCGCAGTCGGTTAAGCGTCCGACTTCAGCCAGGTCACGATCTCGCGGTCCGTGAGTTTGAGCCCCGCGTCAGGCTCTGGGCTGATGGCTCGGAGCCTGGAGCCTGTTTCCGATTCTGTGTCTCCCTCTCTCTCTGCCCCTCCCCCGTTCATGCTCTGTCTCTCTCTGTCCCAAAAATAAATAAACGTTGAAAAAAAAAATTTTTTTAAAAAAGACTGATACAGCAAAATGATAAGTAATTTTTGAAAGAAAGTGGTCTGTGAAACTTCCGTAGGCCCAGCATCACTTCCTTCAGTATCCATCATGGATTTAACTGTATTAACAGCTCTGAGGAGACCTGCCTGTGGATTCAGATGCCTTCAGCCTCCAGCCTCAAAATCCAACTCTACACGAAGATTTACCAACACAGACAGGGAGCTTTCCTTCAGAGGCCATCCAATTTCACATTTTTTTTTCCTTATAGCATCCTACTCCATCCCTGCTGACCCCACTGGCCTTGACTATCATCGCTCAGAACTGGTCTCTCAGGGTGCACACTTCAGTGACTGAGAATTTGGTAAAGTGGAGTCCCTGGGGTGCCTAAGAGGGAATCTGTACTCGGATTTAACCAGTGGCCACAGGGTGTTTCACCCTCCTAAGGCTAACACTTCAACCCAGTGTTCTTCTACCAGGGCTAGCCCAAGGCCAAAGTATGATGGTGAAAACACTTTTCAGGACCCCTAATTCCCTTCTCTGTTCTAATGTCCTTCTCCCTCCCCATCTCAAGGCCTATCTTGGGAATGGAAGGGACCTCAGCAGAGCTGTCGACCCTCCCCTGCTCCCAGATTGTCACCTCCATCCTCAGCCCCGGCCTGGCCAACCTGGTGACAGGTGGAGGTGACGTGGACAAATAGTTTAGAGCTCTGTCTTCCACCAGGACAGAACAAGAGCACGTGACCCGAGAGGCACTGGCCCCTGTTGAGGACCAGCCCACCACAACTGGACCTTGGGAAGCCCTACTTCTTCCGGGATCATTTTCCTCTCACTACCGCAGGGCTGCTAGGACACTTACACAAGGCTGTGGGTATGCAGCTGCCCTTCGACCCTTGGAATATTGCTGGTGCAGAGGTCATAGCAAGTCACAGGCAGAAATAACCATCTACACATGAGCTGGGCTACAGCAAGTCACTGGCCTGATGACCCCAAGGTCCTCAAGAATGGCTGATCTTAATGAGGTGGGTGGTCCAGGAGTAAATGTATTCTGTTGCTCAACTTAACAAAATACAGAGGACTTCCCAGTCTGGGGAATGGGATGGGCATAAAGGATGCACTTCTCTGCCCTTGGCCACAGATGAATGAGACTATTATTAAAAAATTTCCAAAGTGGCTCTTACTTAGTTAGTTTCTGAAGACAAATTACCCAGTGGTCATTTGGAGGGAAATTGTAGCCCAAAGAAAGCACCCTCCTTCCACAGCCAAATAAGCAGTGTGAGCTTTTAGCTACATGACATTTTTCTTGATCATATGACTTTGGGTTTTCTTTGATCATATTGAATTATGAATACTTTGGAGATTGGCAGATTTGTCCCCAACTAAAGCAAGTATATTGGGGCTTCATCAGTTAATACTCTAGAACCGCCTCTGCCTGGAGGTTTCCCAATACATCCTGAACCTAAACAGACTGTCCACGTAGGCTGGGCCTAAGGCTCTGACCACCAGCATGACCCAAGATGAGACGCGGCCCCTGGACACATCACTGAGTATTGATTTACTTGAAGTGTTCTTCGATACCAAATGTTCCTGAGGGATCTAATGATGTCCAAGGCAAGCCCAACATGGATCCAGGCAAATCGCCTCTCAGCAAAGATCTGTTTGTCAGCACACCATACTGGGCACCAAGTCCACCAATCTCTTTGGTATCTTGTTTCCAATTATCTATCTCTTTAGAACTTGAGTTTTCATTCCTCTTGATGTTATGAATTTTGTTTATGAATTTTGATTATAATGCTGGATCCAACCTAAGGATGTTTTAGAATTGGATCTGGGAAGGAAAGGCATGTAGCAAATGAATATACATCCCATAATAAATTGAAAGCATAATTTCCTAAAAAACATAATTTTGCTAAAAAACAAAAAACTTTTTTTTCTGTTAAATAATTGCATTAACCAAGGCGCCTTAAAACAAAATAATGGAATCTGAGTTTCAGCCGATAGGAGCATTTTCTTTAATAACACTTTGTATTTCCTCAGTGGACTGAGAGATAATTAAGGAAAACAAAATTAGAACAGAAGAAAGATTCTAGAATTGAGGTCTGATTATTTGGTTAGACTATTCATTTATATTTCTTCATTTAGCATACCTAATTTATAGAATTGATAGACTATTTGGGACATTGCAGGTTTCGGAAAGGCAACTAGTCTTTTTTTTAAGTTTATTTATTTTGAGAGACAGAGAGAGAGCGAGTGATGGGGAGGAGCAGAGAGAGAGGAAGAGACAGAGAATCCCAAGCAGGCTCCACAATGCACCACAGAACCTGATATGGGGCTCAAACTCACAACCATGAGATCATGATTTGAGCCGAAACTAAGAGACGCTTAACCGACCGAGGCACCCAGGCGCTCCATCAACAGGTCTTTTTCTTAGACAAAATAACAGAATATAAAAATAATAATAACAGAAGAATATTATCAGAACACATAATAAGTACATGAGTATATTATAAATAATTTATTCTATAAATAGAAGTGAATGTATATTTATTCATATTCATGTATAGTATGTGTTACGAGGAATATGAAGAAAGAGCTACACTAGATAATTAGCAATAAAAAATGAAGTATGTGCTATGATGAGTCCAAGATTAGAGGTAAGAAGATGTGCTATGACATAAAATTGGTGTTACGGAAATCTTAAGATCTGAATACATTATGAAATTTCTGGCTACTTCTGTCAGGTTCCCAGGGTCTCACACTGTCTTCCATGTCATTAGGATCCCAGCGGTGACCGCTTAACCAATGTATTCACAGAGAACTACCACTGGTTCCTTATGACTATATGCATGTGAAATAGTTCTGAAAAGGACCCTAGGATTGAATGAGAAGAAATACACTTTGTATGTACCCATTTCCATCGTATTTAATAAAATTTACATTCTTGGGAATTTCACTTTTTATTTTGAACTTTTTCTTTAAGTTCATTATTTTGAGAGAGAGAGAAAGAGTGAGTCGGGGAGGGGTAGAGAGAGAGGGAGAGAGAATCCCAAGTAGGCTCCACACGGTCAGTGGTTGGGGCTCAAATCCATGAACCATGAGATCATGATCTAAGCCAAAGTCGGACGCTTAACCAATTGAGCCACCCAGGGTGCCCCTATTTTGAACTTCTTAAATTGAATACTGGAAATAAAATACGACTGATACTAAAACTTACTTTCATTTCTTCTTGTAGCACCCAGACAGCAAGGAGCCTCAGATTTTACAACAGCAGGATTCAGTGATAATGTTGAATTTTATCAGGTCTAGGAGCCAAGAGAAAAATGGCATGAATATCTTAGAATGCCAGAATGATGTGAAAGCATCTAAAATAAAAGGGTAACTTTAAATGATACATTAATAACTACAATTTAAGTCATAGAATAATTAACAAAAATATTAAACATCAATTATAATTGAGTGTTCTAATAGTAAACATATTATAAATTCCAACTGTTAACAATTTTATATCATCTGGGTTCATTATTGATACTGGGTTATGCAATAATTATTAATAGAATAACTATATTTTATCAATATAATAATTATGTTATTAAGTATTCAAATATTGATTAATAGAAACTTAATTTTGAATATAATTATTACCAATATTACTGATTGATAAAATATTATGTTTTCATAATTGTTTAGGGCAATACTTTTCTAAGTTTATCATTAATACTTATACAGAGTCATATGCAATATCTCTTGGCAAATAAAGTAACATTCCTTATACTCATGTTATTTTCTGTTTGACTGAAGAAAGAAAGTGAATCATTGGAGATGAATGGATGCTTTTGCGTTACTTTTTAATGTTCTTTCATTTTCAACATAATCAGATCTTATTATTCATGCCATGCTTTTGAAATTTCCAATATTTGTTTTATTTCTTCATTTGAAAATTTGTTGAAGTTCATCCACACAATTAAATGCATACTTTAAAATACCTTTTTTCTGGTCAAAGATATGTTACATAATTATTCAAATTACAGTGAATCAGACAATTTTAATCTAAAACGTGTGGTCTGTCAATACAATATGTTGACAAGCATTAATAGCACAGACCTTAAGTTTCACAATAGTGTGTGACTTTTTCATTTACATGTTCATTTGAAGCAATTTTTCAATGCGAATTGTTTTTGAAGTTTCCTCTGCACATTCACTTACTCGGGTGGTAAACATTTCATGACCCTTTCCATTATACTGTCTTTTTATAAGTTAATTCTCTTTTTTATAACAGTTTTATTGAGATATAATTCATTCACCAGAAAAACTCATATCCTTTGACGGTGTGCAATCTGCTGGTTGTTAGTATATTGGAAGAGTTATGCAACTATCAACATTAGCTAATTTTAGAAAATCTTCATAATCTTTAAAGAGAAACCCCCTATCAGTCAGCACTCAGTGACATTCTCCCTCCTCCCGTAATAGTTAGTAGAAACTACTAATCTACCTTCTGTGTCTATGGATTTGTCTATTCTAGACATTTCAATATGAATGGAATCAAACAATAGTGGCCTTCCATGTCTGGCTTCTTTGACTCGGCATAATGTTTGCAAGGTTCACCCATGTTAATAGCATGTATTTCATTAACTTACATATCTGAATAATATTGCATTATAAAATACACCACATTTTACTTATTCATTCACCAGTTAAAGGACATCTCATACGCTAACATTCAGTAATTGCCAACATCTTTCCTCGTCATTCTTCTTAAGTAAAGAGTTTGAGAATACAATCTGGGAAAAAGAAAGGTGTGCCCTCCTGGAGGAAGAAAAAAAGTCCTCAGATTCCCCCCCAAATGGGTAAGACTTCTTTTATAAAGATGCACTTTAAACCCATGAGGAAATTTGTCTCCAAGAGAGTCGGTTCAATGTGCCCAGTGAGAATGACTCAGTAGTCAACTTGGCACCCAACATTTATCCAAGGACTATGTGTGCACACATACACACGCCCACATGTACATATTGGATCCACTGTACAGAGCGCCATTTTATTCTCTTAATTCATGAATGGCTTAAACATTTTCGGAGGAACAGCTAAATTTTTTTTTTTTCTGAATTGAAGTACTTTTTCAGTACTGTGAATGTTTTATGCAAAATGCTTTCCATAATAGAAATTTCTGTTTTGTATCATTTCCATTAGCTCTTTGGAATATTCTACATGTGCTGTAGGACAGGCACCATGGTGCTCAAATGGGGGTCACTGTACCACCTCTTCTACTTCCTCACCCTCTCCAAGATGGCATCTGGCAGTGAGGGAAGCCCTAAGCCCCGTGGGACTGTCCTTTAAGCATTTTCTGGGACTGATATGGCTGATGTGAGGATGGCAGAGGGTGGCAATAGATGGAAGTAAGTTGGAGAGAGGGGAGGGTAGACAGGGGTCAGACATCTGGAGAGAATGGAAAGGAGGTTGTCCTCAAGGGAACGCCCTAGGGCACCCTGGCTGCCTGAGTACTGGCCCTTCCCTTTGCAGGAGGTCTAGACTGCCACCAGCCCAAGCTCTCCCCCTCCCCCAGTCGGACTCCTCATGGCTCCATTATTTTCTGACAATGCTTTTCTTTTCCTTCTGTCTAGCCCGGACCCCTATTTGAGAGCAGACACCACAATGGATCCAGCAGCTGGGCTGCATTTCTCCAGCTCACC